CCTGAAACTCCACGTGCCCGACCCAGTAGTCCGGCATGAGCTTCGCATCGTCCTCGAGGTCGGATACCGAGCCCTCGAAGATGTGCTCGACGTAGGTCCCGTCGGGGTTCTTGAACCTGCAAGTCGTGGCCATCTCGTCTTCCAGAAAGCTCGACGGAACGGGAGACTCACTCAGATCCTTCTTCACTGGCATGGCACGCCGGGGCTTGGTGAACACCAGCCTCAGCTTGTTGCCGTCCCGCTCCCACTTGTCTGAGCCGCTCGACACGCTCATGACCCAGGCGCTCTCCGAGCCGATCCGAAAAGACGGAAACTTCTGGGCCAGATCAGGGTCGAGAATCAAATCCGACGGGGACTTGCCGATCAGACCGATCGTGCGGTGGCCTGATGGGAGCTTCGTCATATCCAGCGTGGTGGTGTCATCCGTTCCCACCGTCATCTGGTTGGCCGCTAGGTCGATCTTGGCCGACATGAAGTCCAGGAACCCTGCTGGCAACAAGGGAGGACAAGGAAGCGGCAACACGAAAAATTCCAAGACCCCACAGCCGTGAAATGATACTGGAACGAAAGCTTTGGCGACCGGGCGGACGCGTCCTCCGACGCCGTTGGCGAAAGGAAGATCGTCCTGGTACCTAACGTGCACCTTGAAGCCCTTCTCCTTGAAAGCCGACTTGAGATGCTTGAGGTCCGGGACGCCTATCAAAGCCTGGGCCGCTGCCGTGTCTACCAGAGCCTGGTCTGCCATCGACCTCAGCGTCACTCCCGAAAATGAGTCAGACCTGCTAGCCGTCACCAAGGCGATCGCCTCGGCCAGCTCCTCGGCGAAGATCGCCCAGGTGCTTCCGCTCGAGCCCGCTGCCGATTCCACTTGAAAGTAGAAGCTCTTGCCCTCCGACTTGAGTCTGTCCGCCTTCGACCGGTATGGCTTCTTGCAATCTTCTCGCCAGTGACCCTTATCTCCGCAATTTGTGCAACGTGTTCTCTTCTTCAAGTCGTCCTTGCTGATGCGCTTGAAGCCGGGAGATGGAGTTGGAGGCGGAGAGACTCCACCTTTGCCGCCTCGCTTCCGGTCGAAAAAGTCTCGGTCAACCTTTCTCGCCGCCTTCATTTGCCTGGACTCCTTCCAGGTCCTCCTTCGCTTTGAAGCCATCTCCATGAAGATCTGGTATCCCTCATCTTCGTACAAGTCTTTGTCGTCCAGCGCTCCCAGAAACACCGTCACGTCATCTTCGGGAAATTCCACTTCAAAGAGGTCGAGCGTCTCGTCGCCGTCTTCCGAGTCCGAGTCCCAGCCCTCTAACTCTGCTGGAAAACTCTTCGCCTGCGTCGCTGACTTCTGAGGGAGAACCGACTTCTCTGAGACGTCAAGCTCCAAGAGCGCTCGTCTAACCGCCGCTACTGTCTTGTCTCCGCCCATCAAAGTCCGTAGGTTGATGCGGTTCTGCTTGGTCAGCTGCGCACCCTCCTCGTAGTAGCGTGCCTGCACAGCGTCTGGAAGCGTGAGACCGAACCTTTCTGCTTGAGCAATCTGGCTGTCGCGCCTGATGACGAAAGCCGTGAGGGACTCTGTCGGACGAATCAGGTAATCGAACAGCGCCTCGTTGTGAGCTTCTCGCTCCTTGTCGCCTGGCTTTTCACCCCTAAGTAGGTGCAAGTGCTTGAGCAACTCCGTTATGCCGTCCTCTGCATCAAGAAGGTGGCGTATCCCCTTGCACTTGCCCTGAAGATCTATCTCGAAGCCTTCGAGCACCTTGCTGGCCTGGTGTTCTGGCAGAACCCCTGTTCTCTTGGACCATGCCTGCAAGTTGGCCGTGAAAATCTCTAGGTGATCTAGCCCGGGAAAGGAAGGAGGCGCTGAAAAATCCCTACTCCTGACGGGCTGCGAGCCCACCTTAGTCCAGCCGTGGGTGCTGTTGTCGTCCCAGCCAGACATGCTCCAGTCCCAATCTGCCCCCGACCAGCTTCGCCACCACGAGCTCCACCAGCGGCCCTCTGCTGCTTCGTCTCCTTGCTGGTGTGCTGCATTGGCCTCAGCCGATGGGCTCCCAGTCTGCCGTGGTGCCTCGGACGTCCTCGCGCCCTCTGTTGCCTGTCCCGACCCATTCTCATCCACGCTCCGGCTACCATTGAGATCGTCTCCGTCGGGCATCGAAGAAGGCGAAAGATAACGAGATATCAAAGGATGGGCATAGAGTTTTCCGAGGCACGCCTCTGAACACCACAGTACAGTACTGAGTAACTCCGCCGACCAGGCGGCCTTAAGCCAACAGGCTACGGTCAGATCCAAGGGACACACAGGGAGGAGGGGAGTGGGGGTACGACCACAATACGGATGCCGCCTCTCCCTGATCCCTCCAGGGCCTTCAAATTCACTAGAATTTCGCGGCGAACGCGGGCGGCCGTGGCGACGAGGGCCACGGATACCCTACCCTAAAAGGCGAAGACGAGGGCAGGGTAACGGTATCAGCACCTGCCGAAATTTCCGATGTCTTAATTTGTGTTCAATGCGCCCCCCCAAACAGAAAATCCCGACCCCTTACCCAGGGCCAGCTTTTGATCCTAAGTCGATTTCTGACGGGCCTGATGCACTAATGCACGAAAGCGGCTCCCAGGTGCAGCATCCAGCTAAAACATAACTCAACTGGTTCTCTCGGGGACGTTGGATATCTGGGCTCTCGGCGGTCAAGAGTCGATCCCAGAACCCATGCAGGGGTCGTGTTCTGACAAGAACTTCGAGGGGAACCCAAGCGTTGCGACGAGAACGTCCCTGGAAGCTAAAACTGTGTGAAAGTATGTGCGCGCACACACGCGCACACACACAACACACAACACAACACACACAACACAACACACACACAACACAACACACACAACACACAAAACACACACACACATACACGCACGCACGCACGCACACACACACATACAACACACACAACACAGACACACAGCTTGGGCGGTCGCAGCCTCGCGCGTAGCGTCGAAGCGTAGAGAAGTCGGAACCGGTGCGCGCGGCCAGGCCCTCGGGGGAATCTCCGCAAATTCCGTGCGCGCCCTCCTCAGCAAACCATCCCGGCGTGGACGGCGCGGGGGGGCACACGCTGGCCCCTGCGCTGGACCTCCCAGCGGGGACGTCGCGCGAGAGCGCGAGGAGAGCATTACCATCCCGGAATGGTTGGCGAGGAGGTGATGCGCCGTCAACTCCAGAAGCCAGCGGAGACGTGGCGCGGGTGGAGACGAAGGGAGAGACGTCCAATGGACAGTGAAGGTACGGACGACGGGTGAAACGCAGCGTACCGCAAGAGGTGACGGGCAGGTGCAGCCCGTGGAGGACGCCGCGAAGAGAGGCCGCAACGGGCCCCAGGGCAGGCAGGAGGACCGGTCGGGAGCGCGCGGCAGCAAGGGCCAGAAGCCCGCGAGAAGAGAGGTGAGGAGGCACGACATACACAACACACAACACACAAGACATACAACACACACACACACAACACACAACACACAACACACAACACACAACACACAACACACGCACACACACACATATTGGAGTCGCGGCCACGCGCGCAGCAACGCGGTGGAACCAGGCGGGTTGTGTAAGGTGGACACACGCACACACAAATAGAAACTCATACGCACCTCGTATTCTTTCCCACAGCGGCGAGGTTGCTACACCGTCGCGAGCGCTAAGTCAGGACGTGCTCAGGCGACTTGCTACCGAACGTAGAAGACGGGTGGACTGGATGAGAGCAGGCACGCACCCTCAGCCGCTCGGCAGCGGCGGTGGTGCGGCTGCCCAGAGGCGGCGTTGCAAATGGCCGAATGCGGCATCCCCCTGCCTACGGGTCCCCGAGAAAAGGGTTGCCACATGGCTCTGAACCAAAACTACGGTCACACACACACGAACAAACACGCACAACTCGGATCCGCAGGCCCCCGTGTGGGGCCATCAAATTTCGGAGCTGAAATTTCCTGCAAACTTCTCCACTTGCAATTTTCAATGTCCGCTTCCTGCGGAAATTTGTTGCTGTCCGCGCGAGGGGGGGGGAACCGCAAATGAGCCTCACCACCACGCCCGAGTCGCGTGCTCTAAAATTGTGAGGGGCCCTTGGGCATTTTTCAAATACATGACATTCGCGCCCCCGAAACCATCATGGTAAACTACAGAAAGATTCGCGCCCCCGAGGCCAGAATCCATTCAACATTGCACCAACACCGCGACAAATCCATCATCTGAAGGTGCTTGCAGAATGCCAGTCGTCGTCGCGGGATGATCCCATAAGTTTTCGAACCAGCGCCGACACGTCCCCAACATACACGTCGTTCATTTCTAATCGTGCTCATTTCTAGTTGTTCTCGTTTCTCATTGTTCCTGGCCCCCTAGTGCCCAGGAAGAGGCCCAGGATAGAACAATTAGCTATGAAAGGATCTTGGCCCCCCAAAATAAAAGAACTTTCGAAGAGTAAAGACTGTACAATGTGTAGCTCTGGCAGCCCCGACGATAACGGAGAGGGGGGCCTGCGGCAGACGGCAGAGCCCTCACCGAAACGCAGATCATTCCAGGGCTGAACCTAAACGGTGTTTTTCGTTTTCGTTTTGTTTTCGTTTTCCCTCGCTTTTGTCTCGAATCCGCCTTTACCGCAAAACGAAATCGAAACGAAAACGGCCCACGAGATCGCCCAAAACACCGTTTAGGTCCAGCCCTGCATCGAACCTCGAGCCTCGATCGCCAGATATCCTGAGAAAGCAACTCACGGAGGCTGTTGATCGTCCCTGTTGCGCCCGATAGCACGCCAAGCGGGCAGAATGCATCTCCCTCACGTGACGCGATTGGGCGCTGTTGGTAGCCGTTGGGCGCCACTGGGCGCTATTCGAACGCTATTCGGCACTACTGGGCGCTGTTGAGCACTAGTAGGCTCTGTTCGCCGACATGCCTCCAGTCCAAGACGAGCGGACGCTTCCGTGCTTCACTATCCAAACGTGTGGTTTCGCCTCCTCTGGGCCTGGGCCATGGCCGCCGCGGCCGCCCTGTCGGCATCCCCGGCCGAGAGGCCCCCCGCCACGGCGCCGAGCAGGCGGCCCACGCGAGCGAGCGCCGCCGAGGCGGCCGCGCGCACCTGTGCGCGGCGCGCGGGGCGGCCGGCGCGCCCCGAGGTGGTTGCGTGAGAGTCGATGCCTGACCACAGAAACAGGCCCGCCCATGTGAGAGGCCTCCCATGAAGGGGCTCTGGGACACACAAATAAATACACGCAAATAAAATGATTCCCTATATTTTCCCATATTTTCTGGGTTTTTGTCTTCCCGCCCAATTCCCATATTTTCCCATATTTTCTGGGGACTCGACGATTAATTGTGTCTGTGTGTTTCTTTCCCTCCTGATCCCAGACGGGGTCCGAGCACATGGGGCTGGTGGATCGCGCCGCACCGCCGATACATTGCCGATGCAGCGCCGGTGCATCGACGAGACGCAGGCGACGTCGGCGATGCATCGGCGCCGCCGGCGTGGAGATAATCAGATCGGGCACCACATCGAGCCGCATCGCCGATGCATCGGCGATGCGGCGCGATCCTCCGACCCCATCTACTCCGACCCCACCTGGGAAGCCTAGAGCCCCGTGCCTCGCTCGCACTCGCTCCGGGGTGATTCTTGATCGGTTTGTCCTTCGCCGACGACCTCCTGCTCCTCTGAAGGTCGGCGCAGTCTACCCAGTTTCCTTCTGTCGTTCCATTGGCGGGACGCAAACTGAAAACGGACAAATAAAAACAATATGACTGTTCTGAGAGACAGCTCAGGTCCCCGGGGCCCGAAAACCCCCGATGTGCCGCCGCGATCGCCGCAGCGACCTTCAAAACTGACCTGGACGTTTGGTCGCGGCCAGATATCACGCAAAGACCGGGCATCCGCTGCAAAGCGTAGATTTATCCAGATCTAGCGCCTCGAGAACCGACGTAGCACCTTGCAAGAACGAAGGGGCGGGCGCGGGATGGGTCGTCGTCGCGTGCCATTCAACATGTCTGTTGCAAACCCTCGATGCCCGCTCTCTTCGCCTTCGATCGTGCCGCTCATCGGGGGTATGCTTTGCAAACCTGACGCGCGTAGTTGGCCCACCTTCAAAACAGGGGAATGGAGGCAGGAGGGAAGGGACAAGGGGGAGGGAGAAGGATGGAGCAAGAGAGAGATCAGCAGCAGGGGGGCCAGGAGCAGGAAAACGTACGGCAGAATCAGACGGGCGGGTCGGGCGGGCGGACTCGAACGGGCGGGCCAAGATGGCTGGGTCGAGCGGGCGGGTCCCTGAAGCGTCAGTCCTGCGGGAATCGCCGAGCAAGTCTCGAACGATAGCGCAAGTCCTAAGTAAATCGTGATGACGTCCGCAGCGAGAACGTCATTTCTAAGAGTCGAGGGCGTGGCGTCCCATACAATGGCGCGAGAACGCGATTTTGAATGAATCGTGAGGCAACTTAGAGCGGGAACCGTTGGCGCCGTAGCTCGTGGGGCAACTGCCCAGTCTGAGCCCAAACACTTCTTCTTGTAAATGCAGGGTGCGATCCCCGGGAAGAACACTTCAATTGACAAAAACAAAACGGGCACCAAAAGGGGGGATCAACAATTATGATTCATCTGGAAAGGGAGCCCAATAACAATTCGCCGGCCCAACGGGCCAGAGGCGTGCTAAGATCTCCTGTAACTGGTTAACAATATTTCTAGTTCGCGCGCGCGGGGCGGCCCCTGGGGGTCCCCGGACGAAAAGTACCCCGGCAAGGTCCGACTCAGAGATGGTTCTCCTCCTGGCCGCGGCCTCTCAAGCCCCCAGAGCGCGCCAAAAGGGCCCCAAGACTGCCCAAGAGGCCCCCGAGACGCCCAAAGAGCGCTCCAAGACGCCAAAGATGACCCCAAGACGGCCCAAGAGGCCTCCAAGTGGCCTCCAAGAGGGCCCTGAAAGGTCAAACTTATAAATTGTACGATGGTTTTGGAAGGATTTTGGCCTTGTCGCCTTTTCGGCTTTCCGATGCTCCAAGACGGCCCCGAGACGGCCCAAGAGGCGTCCAAGACGGCCCAAGAGAGCCCCAAGACGGCCGCAAGAGGGGCCCAAGAGGGGGACCACGAACCGAAAACTGGAGCCAGCCTTCCGCCCCAAGAGGGCCCCAGGAGGCCCCGATAGGCCCCCAAGTGGCCCCAAGATGCCGCCAAGAGGCCGCAGGAGGCCCCCAGGAGGCCCAAAAGAGGCCCCAGGAGGCTTCAAAAATGCCTCCCAGGCGCCCCCGAACGGCTTCTTAAAAGACCCCAAGAGGCCTCTCAAAGAAGCATCTTGACGACGACCCTGTTTGGCCCCAAGAGCAACACAAGATGCCAACGAGAGGCTTCCTCCTCCGCCCCCTCTTCCTCCTCCTCCTCCTCCTCCTCCTCCTCTTCCTCCTACTTATCTTCATCCTCCTCCTCTCCTTCTCATCCTCTCCTCTTCCTCCCCTCCCCTTCCCCATCCTCATCTTCCTCCTTCTCGGCGGCGCCACAATGACCCCGAGCCCACGGCGAAGCAGTAGCGATCATGCAATATGGGCCGGCGGAATGAGCGAAGCGATTGAACAATCTGACCAGTATGCTCAATGGTTCTTTGTGCAACATGCATTCCTAATGCTAGTTCCCCCCTTTTTTGGGGAATTCTTCCATGCATCGGGGGCCCAAGATTCCCTTACCCAGACCTTATGACAATGCCTTTTACAAGTCATTTTGCCATCTTCGATTCAAATAGGTGGGGCCTCCTGGGCGGCCTCTTGGGCCGCCTTGGGGCTCTCTCTTGGGCCGTCTGAAAGCATCTTGGGGCGCCCTTGGAAGTTTAGCGGGACCTCTTCGGGACCAGTGTGGCGCCTCCACAAGAGCCTCTTCGGACCCCCTAGGGTCGCCTGGAAACCGTCCAGAAGCGAGGCCGAAACGAGGGCCTCACTCTTGAACTAAAAGTTGGGAACTATCGAGCCGGAGCGTCGTTGTTGTAGTGGGGCTGCTTTGACGCGCCATGGCGCGAGCCATATTTCTTCATAGTGTTAGCCACTGCGATCCCAAAACAGTGTGTTTCTAGTAGTCTAGTGGAGCAATCTAAGCAGTGTGCTCTACGTGGAGCAATCATTGTTGTACAATTTATGGTGTACAACCCATGGTCTGCAATCTTTGTGGAGCAATCGATGTGGTGCAATCTACGTGGTGCAATTAATTTCTGTTCGCAGTGAGTTGTCCACTCCACTGCTCGCGCAAACATCCCACCCACCCACCCGCAACTTGGTTTGCAAAATCTCTTAAGACCGTGACGGTGGGTACCACATGGCACTTGGCAACAACGGCGACGCCCAACAGCGACAACGACGAGACGACGCCGCCGACAACGACTACGACGACACCGACGACGTCTCCAACGACTTCGACGACGCCGACAACGACGACGACGACGACACCGACGACGACGACGACACCGACGCCGACGACGACGACGATGACAACGACGACGACGATGACGACGCCGACGACGACGATAACGACGACACGACGACGACGACGACGTCAACGACGCCGACGACGACGACGACGACGACGACGACGGCGGCGACGACGACGACGCCGACGTCGACGACGACGAAGACGACAACGACGCCGACGCCGACGACGACGACGAAGACGACGACGACGTCGCCAACGAAGACAACGAGGAAGGAGGGAGGACGACGACGGCGACAACGACGACAACGACGAGGGAGGAGGGAGGACGGCGACGACGCGAACGACGAAGAAGGAGGAAGGACGGCGACGCCGACGACGGCAACGACGAGGGAGGAGGGAAGACGACGACGACACGACGACGACGACGACGACGGCGACGAAATAGGAGGGACGACGACGAGACGCCGACGACGGACGACGACGACGACGAGGGAGGAGGAGGAAGGACGACCACGGCGACAACGACGACGGAAACGACCACGACGCCAAAGAGGACGACGACGACGAACACGAGGAAAGACAGAGGACGACGTAGGCGACAACGACGACGACAACGACGCGGGAGGAGGGAGGACGGCGACGATGACGACGACGACGCAAGAGCGCGCCCGCACGCTTTTGTTGAAAATCCGTGTTGCGAAACCTTACGTTTTTGTAGGTTTTTTGGACACACGATTTTGAAATCCGTCCGACACCGATGGGTTCTGAAGGTTTTCGGCATACGCGCGCGACGACGCGCGCGTCTGCACTTCGTCCCATTTTTTGCAGGGGATTCTCGCGACGGCACACGCACAAGGGCGTTCGACAGATTTCGACATGAGCGCGCGCGAAGCCCGTTTGGTAGCATTTTGTGAAAATCTTGAAAAACCTATGGTTTTCTTAAGATTTCGCAAGAGCTTTCGCGGAAGCTTTTTTAGCAGCTCTGTGTTGCGAAACCCTGTGTTTTGTATGTTTTTTGGGAACTCGATTGCGAAATCCTTCCCGCACCGAAGGTTTTCGAAGGATTTCGGCATGCGCGCGCGACGACGCGCGCGTGTGCACTTCGTCTCATGCTTTGCAAAGGATTCGTGAAAAAGTGTGATGTTAGAACAAAAAATGTCACCGCATAATGTTTTTTACAAGGGAACCTCAGGGGGGGAACCAGTTTGGCTGGGATGGTCTGGTTTCATATTTAGGATGGACGAATGTATATATATATATATATATATATACATACATTTAAAAATCATACTATCCCAGGGGGAACCGATAAGTCCGGGGGGGGTAGAGTCTATTCTCTTTTTAGAAAGGAGAATGTATGAAGTGCAATCTATGTTGTGCAGTCTGCCTTGTGCTCTATCTGTGGTCCAATCTATGTGGGGCAATCTAGGTGGCGCGCACTTTATGGGGTGATATTGACGTTGTGTAATCTGTGCAGTGCATGCAGTCCATGTGGTGCAAGATATGCGGTGCAATATACTTGGCGCAATCTATGTTGTGCGATCTAGGCGGCGACGTGGCGGCGGTTCGGGGCGAGCGCCATCATTTAAGAACGACATCGGAAACTAACAAGCAGGAGCGCTGATCTTGTTGAGGGACCGAGTCTAAGCGGCGAGAATCGAGGACACATCGAGCGGGAGTCTCCTTATTGTAGGGGGGCCTGTTTGCGGCCGTCACTCTAAAGAGCGAAAACAAGGATGCAACCAACGGGAACGCTGGTTTTATTAGAGGGACGGTTTTCAGCGGCGAGCAAGACGACTGGTCTTCAGCACAAGCGAGGAGTATCGAGCGGGAGCGTCGTTGTTGTGGGAGGGCCGCTTGGCGGACCCATCATCCGCACGCCACTTCAGAGTAATTTGCCGGGCGAAGAGCCCAACCCGTTCTAAACTCCAGGCGGCTATAGACAGGAACGCGGGACGCCCTGCGAACGCCGCCGAAGTCGGGCCCGATGGGAGACTTGCTCTGCCGCCCAGGGCGCCTGCGGGCTGACGTGCTGCGCCTGCGCGCAGAGCGCTGGCAACGCCGCTGGCAGGTGTGCCGCGAACTGCGCGCCGACGGCGGCGGCGTAGGCTCCCAGCGCCTCCGTGGCGGCGACACGCTCCTCCTCAGGACCAAGCGAGCGTCGTCTGCATCGACGGGTCCCCATTCCCACTGGCACGACCTTGGCCCCCCTGGTAGACTTCAATCGACCTGCTCCTTCCGCATCTGCCGCGCGGAAGGTACCGCCGCGATGCGGCCGCGGCAGCGCGGCACCCCCCTGTGTGGGGATATGTGATGTTCCCTTGGGGCTTCGCGGGCGCGATCCCCACCGGGGGCGGGGCGGGCTGGTGCGGCTGAAGTGCCACGGCCCAATGGGGATGGGGGTCGGTCAGACGATGCTGCTGGAAAGAGCTGCCCTGGGATCTTGGCGTCGCATTTTTATTCACCCTGGACGTTGCCGCTTCATTCCGGGACCTGGGGCCCACGCGGATCGATGCAGCTCGAGAGATGCCGAAGAAAAGCAGGGTGTGGGGCTCTGCTCGTGATCAAACGTTGCCGCTTTCCTTTCGGCACGTCGGACCTCAGGGCATGCTGGCCAACCCCAGCCAGGGGGCCAAGCATCGGTGCATGTACGCCGCTCTGGCCTTTCCAGGAGGGCGCATTCGCTTGGCCAGCACCAGAGCATCCGCAGAATCCCATACATCTTATGCTGTATCTTCGGGGACCTTGTCTGTCCCGTTGCGTCAAGATCCGCGTCGAATCCGAATCGAATGCATGTCGGACTCGTCGAATCTGCGTCGAATCCACGTCGACTCAACGCCAAATCCACGTCGAATCCGCATCGAGACCGCGTCGGGCACAAGGAACGACTCAAATTTTGAAAAACAGACGAGGTCCCCGAAGATGCAACGTAAGACCTCCGATTTCCCGAGCTTCTCAAAACGGGGTTCCCCGAGGCCTGGACCCTGCAGCGAGGGGCAGCTCCTCATCCTGAGTCGTTTCTTTACGGCCCCGGAAGCCAACAGCGGCGGAGGCCCTTCGCATTCAGCTTCGCGGGGCGTTGGAGATCTGGGGTTCTCCACGCCCGATCGCGCACGCCCAAGACGGGCCCAGATCGACTCGCTGATCCGAGTCGGCAATCGACGTACGTGGCATCGGCGGACCTCGGCAGGCAGATCGGACGGCATCGAGATCGACGCCTGGCGGCCCGAGCCGAGGCCTGCACGTGTGAGCCAAGACCGAAGTCGCAGTCCGAAGCCGAGTGGAATGGGAATCGAAATCCTCAAAAAGCGAAGCGATTCGAATCGACAGAGTCGAAATGGCTTCGAACAGAAAGTTCTCCATGGGGGGTCGGTCGCCCGACCCCTCCCGGTGCCCATCTAAGGCTCTCACGCCCTGGACTCGTTGTTGGGCCATCCCACGGCCAGAAAACGGCCCCCCGGAGGCCGAGAAGGGCAGAACAACGCCTCGAGCCCAGAAGCTCGAACCTCGGCCTCCCCTCCTGCTGTCAGGGACCAGGAGCTGGGCCACCTCGGACCCCCAGTCGGATCCAACCCGCCTTGAGCTTCTCGCGACGTCGAAAGTCTTGGTCTTCTCCACGCCGGATCCTGCACGCCCGTCCGCACCCCGCGCTGGCGGCTGCTCGTGCTGGCGGCGGCGCTGCCGTCGTCGGCGCGCAGCGCCTCGACGGCGGGCGGCACCACCTGGGCCAGCTGCGGCGCGAAGTCCTCCAGGGTCGTGGCTCGGATGCGCGCGAGAGCACGCCAGACACATGCGATGTCAGACCCTGCCGTAAGGAATCTTGGGGCACATGCTTCGTCGAGATTCGAGCTTCCCGAGGTGCCCAAGGGATACCGTGGGCCCACATGGCAACTGGGGGATACGCAACTTGCGTGGGTCACCTGCTGGCAGGCCGGCTTCTCATTTGACGGGCCATCTGTGCGCGACAGGGTGATCCTAGGCAAGAGCGACCGTTTGTGCGAGAGCTGGAAACGATCACGAAAGCGGCTCAGCTCGGGAACGGATCCGATCGCGTCCGAATCGTCGCGGACTCGGATCGGTACCGGATCGTTCGGGATAGCGCGTCGGTCTCGACTCGGCCACAGCAGGCCTGAGAGAAAAGCGTTTCGTCTCGGAACGGATCGGAATCGAAATCGACCGGCGGCCGCGGCACCTGCTGCGCGGAAGGTGCAGGTCGAGGGCAAGCAGGATCTGCCCTGAAGGAAATGGGACCTGGATCCCGGGGGCTCTTCCTGGGACAACCCCTCCATCCTGAGCCGTCTCTCTTGCGAGAACGGCGCCCGTGCACCGCACCGAGTCCGGACTCCGTTCAAGCCCTGCTCCGACGCGGTACGGTGCACAATGTGTTCTGCCCTGGGAGCCGAAAGCTGTGCACCGTACCATTCCTGGGTCGAGAATCGACAACGCCTCGGGAGACGCCAACGCGGTACGGTGCGCAAAAGTCGACCGCGGATCCTGACGGCCCGGGGGCCCTGGGAGGGCCCTGGGATACCCTCGGGAGCAGTGGGCCTGGCGCAGATGGGTCCGCGGTGCGGGGTGCAACAGTACCTTCAATAGTTGGTGCTTCGATGCAATATTTTGCGGCACTGGCTGGATGCGATGGTGAATATTTTTCTCACGCAATGGTCGTCCGTGCACAACAGATCCAACAGTTGCGAACTATTGCGCGCAACATTACGCAACTCATGGACGATTGAGTATCTCGCCGCCGACCCGTCTGCGCCAGACCTACTCCAGCTCGGATTCAAAACCGTGCGGAGACGGACCGCGTGGCGACCTCAAGCCGCGAGTGACCTCACCGCGCCGTCCGTCACCACACGGATCGAGGACCCTGGAAGCACCAGTCGCCGGAGGCACCCTCGGAGAACCACCCGCCCGAGCCCCGAAACCGCGCGGCGACCTCGAGCCCTCGACCTGCACCTCCCGCGCCTTCCGTGCAGACGGCGCCACCGCGACGCGGCCGCGGCGGCCGCATCGCGGTGGCCTCGATGGTGCCTGCCGCTGCGACCGCGGCGGCGGCGGCGGCGGCGCGGCACCTGCTGCGCGGAAGGGTGCAGGTCGAGGGCTACCTCTCCGCGATGCTCACGCGCAGCGAGGGCGCGCTCGATGGCTCCGACGGCCCCGCGGGCCGTCCCTGCACGGGACGCCTCCGCCTCTTGGGCGAGCGCGCGACGAGGCTGCCCTTCGCAAGGAGCTGCAGGCCGAGGACTTTTGGAATCCCCACGGACTCCCGCGGCGTGGCCACCGTCCGAGGCTCGCCCGGCACCCGTTGGCCCAGCCATGGAGCTCGATATCAGCCCGAACGAACGAACGAACGAACGCCAGATCCGTGCGCACGCCGCGCGGGAGCCCGCACGCGCCCGTCTGGGCGTGGCGGTGGAGGCCGTGGCCTCGATGCGGAAAAACATCTGGTGCGTCTGAGGAACATGCAATGCGGAGATACACAACAAACATTAGAAACGGAGGGTGGGGGGGGGAGCCTCGGCGAGGGACGGGCGCGCAGGGGCTCCTCGAAGCTGGCCATCGCCACGGCGGCGAAGAAGACGTGCGCGCCAGCCCGCACCTCACGGGGCGGGGCCCCCTCCAGAGCGCAGTACTTTTTGCATCGGGCTAACTCGGGCTGCCGAGCTTCACCTCTCGTGAAAAAAAAGCATGTGGCCGATTTGGGCCCTGCGAGCACCAAGTTAAGCCGCGAGCAGGTGCAGATAAAGTTATAGTGGCACAACAGGGCGTAGAATAACCTAATCCGCGGCAGTGCAAAGTACAAGAGCGCAGCAATAACATCGCCCCCTCGGGACCAAGCCCCGAACACCGCGACAACGCCTGGTGCGGAAAACATGCAACGCCAGGATCCCAGGGCAGCCCTTTTCATCGGCATCGTCTGACCGATCCCCATCCCCACTGGGCCATGGTATTTCAGTGCCACCAGCCCGATCATCAAGGAGGGAATAGGCCCCGCGAAGCCCGCATCGCGGCGGCGCCTCCCACGCTGAAGGTGCAGAAGGTGCAGGTCGAGGGCCGCGAGGCACGAACTGGAGTGCCCTCAAGTCCCTCGTAATCCTCAGTCTGCGGTCCTCAGCATAAAAAGACCCCACATTCTCAAATTTTCCGGGTTCCCAGCGTGCCTCCCGCAACTCCCCGGCGTTTCCCGCGCGACTCTCTCGGAGCCGAGAGCGCCCCCAAACGGGCAAGGAGGGCCCTGAGACAGGCACAGTGGCGGGATGAGCCGACGGCCAGTGCATCGCCCTCCCGACTTGTAGGCTGTGGACCTGTCTGAACTCCCAGAGGGAGGAGACTTCGGCCAAGAAATTTAAGCCCAAAGTCCAGGTGCTATTTTTGTTCAGCCTCCCGCTGGACGGTCCGGGAGGCCCCGCGCGCGGAAGCGGTCTGTCCCACTGTCCCCACTGTCCCACTGTCCCCGCCACTGTCCCACTGAGCTGTTCCACTGTTCCCACCACTGTCCCCACTGTCCCCACCACTGTCCCTACTGTACCTCTGTCCCATTATCCCACCGCCGTCCTCGCCACCGCCCTCATCACTGTCGCCACCACCGCTGTACCCTCCACTGTCCCACTGTTTCCACCACATTCCCGCTGTCCCCACACCACTGTCCCCGCCACTGTCCCACTAACTATCCCCACTGTTCCCACCATTGTCCCCGCTGTCCCCACCAGTGCCCCCCACCAGTGTCTCACTGTCCCCGCTCTCCCACCATTGTCCCACCACGGTCCCACTCTCCCCACTTTCCCCACGGTCCCCACCACTGTCCCACTGTCCCCACTGTTCCCGCCACTGTCCCACTGTCCCCGCCGCTGTCCCACTGTGCTGTCCCACCGTCCCTCCCCATCACTGTCCCACTGTCCACTGTCCTCACCACTGCCTTCACCACTGTCCCCACCACTACCGTCCCCACCACTGTCTCACTGTTCCCCCCACTGTCCCGCTGTCCCCTCACCACTGTCCCCACCATCACCGTCCCCACCACTGTCCGCACCACTGTCCCGCTGTCCCCGCACCACTGTCCCCACCACCACCGTTCCCACCACTGTCCCAACATCCCCACCATTCTCCAACTGTCCCGAGGAGCGGGCATCGTTTGCCGGCGGCGAGGGGGGGGGGTTCGAACCGGTGAAGACCCCCCCCGGTTTTCGAGAGGGGTGTGTTCGAACCGGTAATGACCCCCCCCTGGTTTTCGAGGGGGGGGTTCGGACCGGTAGTGACCCCCCCCTTTTCATGATGGACTGGGGGGGGGGTTCGAACCGGTAGTGACCCAACCGGTAGTGACCCCCCCCAGTTTGCGAGGGGGGGGGGGAACGGATTAGGAACCCCCAGTGACCCCCCCCGGGTTTTCCGCCAGCAGCGGTAGAACACGCTCTTTACACACACACATACATATACATACATACATATATATATATATATATATATATATATATATATATATATATCTGGCCCCCCCAGCAGCCTTCGAACGTGGCGACATGTTCGCAGGTCGCAGCCCTTCACAAGGATGGCGAGGCCGACTTTGAATATGGGTAGGACGTCGCTACACTGGACCCCCCAGCAGCCTTTTGAAAGTGGCGACAGTTTCGCAGATCGCAGCCCCCCAGGGACAACGAGGTTTCATTTGCGTCCGCGTAAGACGTCGCTCCGCTGGGCCCCCCAGTAGCCTTCGAAAGTGGCCACATGTTCGCAGGTCGCAGCCCCTCCCAATGATGGCGAGGTCGACTTTGAATATGTGTAAGACGCGTCTTGGGGCGCGCTCAGGGCAATTTTTGGGCATCTTGGGGGCCTCTTGGGGGCCTCCAGGGGGGCTCTTGGGGGCCTGTTTGGAGCCTCTTGGGGCCTCGCGGGGCCCTCTTGGGGCCCGCTGGGCTGGCTTAGGCAGTCTTGAAGCCCTGTCGGGGCTCTCCTGGAACCGTCTTGGGCGGCTCGTGGGCCATCTTGGGGCTCTCCTGGGCCGTCTTGGGACAATTTTAGGGGGTCTCTTGGGCCGTCTTGGGGCGGTCTTGGGGGCCTCTTCGGCTGTCTTGGAGCGGTTTTGGGAGACTCTTGGACGGTCTTGGAGCGTCGGAGCCCTGAAAAAGCGAGAAGGCCCAAAGCCTCGAACAAAAACAATAAAAATCAACGATTTTGGCTCGTCGCGGCTCTCTTGGGAGGCCTCTTGGGATGCCTTCGGGGCCTCATGGAGCTCTCTTGGAACGTCTTCGGGGCTTCCTGGCCATTCCTGAGGCTATCTATATATGCGTCTTGGAGCGCTCGCGGGCTGTTTTCGGCGGTCTCGATCTGTTCCTGGCGGTCCCAGGGGCCCTCCGGGACGCTTCGGACGCTCCCGGGGGCGCCCTGCACCCCCCATGGAGATTACAGGCACCGCCCCGGGCCGCCCCCGGGCCCGACTCCGATATATGTATATGTATATGTGTGTGTATGTATGTATATATATATATATATGTATATATATATATATATATATATATGGAAACATACGTAAGACATGTAGGATTGTGTACACAGGAGAAGGACAAGCTATAGAAACATACGTACGTCGTCCAAGGCGCCTCGGAAGGCGCCTCGGAAGGCGCAGAATACTCCTCCAAGGCGCGGAATCATGTTCCCGGACCGCCTTCCGGGAACATGATGGGGACGACCTCCTGAGGGCCTCCAGTGGGCCTCTTGGGGGCCTCTCGGAGGCCTGTGGGGCTCTCCT